TATCTGACCGCATCTCTGCCTATGAACCCACCAGGAGTTTGAGATCTTCCGGGGAGACCCTGCTCTCGATCCCGCCTGCTTCTCAAGCTCGGCTGGCGGGGACGAGAGATAGGGCCTTCTCGGTGGTGGCTCCTCGGCTGTGGAACGCCCTTCCTACGGACATTAGACTAGCACCATCTCTAATGGTATTCCGCAAAAAGGTGAAGACCTGGATGTTTGTGCAGGCGTTTGAGTAATTTAGTGCAATCTGGTAATGGAACATAGGAATGGAACAATGGACGACGAACCTGGACTACGCTTGGATGATGAGAAGATTGGGTACGGTTGTTTTTTGTAATAATTGTGCATTGTAATTGCTTATTGGTAATTTATGGATAATGTGTTAAGTCAATTGTTATATGTTGTATGGAACCACTGCTGTTTCTACTGTTTTTACTGTTTGTGAACCGCCGTGAGTCGCCTTCGGGCTTGAGATACAGCGGTATAGAAGCAAAGTAAATAAATAAATAAAATAAATAAATTAGAGCCCCCCTGAGTCGTTCCCCCCCCCCCGGGAGTTGAGAAGGGAGGGGTACAAATATCTGAAATAATAAATAAATAAATATAAATAAACTACAACTCCTCAAATCCCACAACATTGAGCCGTTGAGCGAAAGTGGTGTCAAACTGCATTAATTCAACAGAATAGATGGTAAAAACAGAACGGACTGCCTCAGGGGAGCGTGCTTGCTGCTTCATAGGAAATCTGCTACCAAACAGGAGCTTTTTTGTTGAGTTCCAGAGCCAAAGAAGAAGATGGCGGAAAGAGAAGAACGGCCTGCCTCAGGGGAGCGTGCTTGCTCCATCAATGTTCAACATTTACACAAATGACCAGCCGCTCCCAGAAGGGACAGAGATATTCATTTATGCTGATGATCATGCCATCACCACTCAAGCAGGAAGCATGGAAATGGTTGAATAGAAGCTCTCTGAAGCTTTAGGTGCTCTTACTGCTTATTACAGGAGAACCAGCTGATCCCTAATCCATCTAAAACACAGACATGTGCTTTCCATCTCAAGAACAGACAAGCATATCGAGCTCTGAGGATGACTTGGGAAAGAATCCCACTGAGCATTGCAGCACACCCAAATACCTGGGAGTCACTCTGGACCATGCTCTGACTTACAAGAAGCACTGCTTGAATATCAAGCAAAAATGGGTGCTAGAAGTAACATCTGACTGGCACAACCTGGGGATCACAACCAGACACAGTGAAGACATCTGCCATTTTGCTTTGCTACTCTGCTGTCGAGTACGCATGCCCAGTGTGGAATGCATTTCACCACATTAAGACAGTGGACGTGGCTCTTAATGAGACATGCCGCATTATCACAGGATGTCTATGCCCCACACCACTGGAGAAATTATATTGTTTGGCCGGTATCGCACTATCTGCTGGGAAGTAGCAGCCAGCAATGAAAGGTAGTGACATCTCCGGCCCATCCTCTCTTCAGATATCAGCCAGCATGTCACCGCCTTAAATGAAGAAATAGCTTCCTAAGATCTACAGAGACCTCAGCAAGCAAGAGTCCAAAAGTGGCAGGCTAAAACCCAGAACCTCAATCAGTGGCTGAGACTAGATAAGAAACTAACTTCTGGGCACACAGAAAAGTGGGTGACCGGGAAGACACTGAACAGGCTGCACTCTGGCACCATGAGATGCAGAGCCTACCTAAGGAAATGGGGCCACAAAGTGGAGTCCATGACATGCAAGTGTGGAAAAGAGCAAACCACAGGCTACTTACTACAAGGGAACCTCAGCCCTGACACATGCACAATGGAAGACCTTCTCACAGCAACATCAGAGGCACTCCAAGTGGTCAAAGGAAATTGAATATAATGCCAGGTTTTTAACTTTGTGGTTTTTCTATACATTATAAATGTATTCTCAATTCGCTTCTGACACAATAAATTATTATTATTATTATTATTATTATTATTATTATTATTATAATATAATGTTGATTGACAGCTATCACGCCATCATCATGTGATGGTGAGTTCCACAGTTCCATCTCCACTCAGCTTTAGTTGATGGTCCTTAACCTGGTTATATTGCCCTTGCCTCTGGATAAACCAAATTCAAGCCACATTCAGACAAAATACTGAAACTTAACTACGATATCAAGTCTCTGAAAATACTCAGTGGTATACCATATTGTTTAAAGTTCATCATTAAAATAGTTTCTCGAGAGAGTCGTTTCAGCTGCTTCCCATTCTACACATTTACAAGTAAATATTCTATCACCCAAAAATATACAGTAATGTATGTGTATGCGATGCCATTGTCTCCACTGAAAGAGGGACAGCACATCCAGAACCCCGAGATATTCGAAAAGAATAATAATTCCATGCTTGTTATCTGCAGCCTTGCTTGATTTCCTGCCCGTACGAGTCAATAAATTCTGAGTTTTAAAACAAGTCTGAATCACTTCCTAACTCATTTGTGGGGAGGGGAACGTCGCTCTCTTTCGCTCTCCGTTTGGGAAAAATACTTTTTGGCACCACGATCCTCGATATCTCGGTAACCCTTTCGTGCTGGGGTTTTTCGAACACATTCAAAACCATGCAATGAATGCCCTCCATATAAAAATGTTGTATTGGAGCTATCATTTGGACTGGAGTCTAAAGTAGAGCTCAGAGGTTACTCTTTGCATGACAATTCCCAGAAATTCCCAGATTTGGGAGCTGTAGTCCTCCAAGGTATTTTTTGCAAGCTCTGGTCCAAACATCTAACTAAGATTGAGAAAAGTGGGATCCAAAGCCAACAGTTGAACAGTTAAAGGGTTACAAATAAATTGTTGTTATTATTATTATTGTGTGATTATTATTATTATTATTATTATTATTATTATTACTTCCCAAGTGTCTAGGACTATGTGATGTACTGGTGAATAATGTGTGCAGATCTGAGTAGGGTGGCCTTTTGTAGCTGACTGGTGGTAATTTTGTCAGCGTCGTTTGTGTTTAAGTGCAGGCCAAGGTCTTTAGGCACTGCATCCAGTGTGCCGATCTCCACTGGGACCAACTTTACTGGCCTGCGGCAGAGTCTTTGCATCATCATCATCATCATCATTATTATTACTCCATTTTATACCCTAAATACGACTCTAAATGTTATATCCGCTGAACTTTATGTTGCCACCGTAGAGTTCAGCCTAACAACCATCTCTTGAAACCAATCCAACCCTTTCTAGATAGGACTGTGTGATGAATTATTATTATTATTATTATTATTATTATTATTATTACATTTATTATTTTACTCTCTTTATTATAATTGGAAGGATAAGTAAGCACATTGACCTTGAAGAAGGTTAGAATAATGGTTTAATCAGAGTTAGGTAGTCTTATCTTAAATTACAGTTTTATGTAACTATTCAAAAACATTTAACCTAGTGATGCCTCAATTAATGTAATTTTATTGGTATCTTTTTATTTCGAGCTGCTGCATTTCCCACCCTCAGCTTATGCTCGAGCCAATCCATTTTTCCAGTTTTTTTGTGGGGAAAATTAGGTGCCTCGGTTTATATTCGGGTCGGCTTATACTCGAGTATATACGGTAATAATAATAATAATAATAATAATAATAATAATAGTAATAGATACATAGCTGCTTTGAGTCCCCTCTGGGAGAGATAAAGCAGAATGCAAATAAACATAAACATAAACATAATAATAATAATAAACATAATAAAATTAACACTTAGGAAGTGTTTGACTTGTAATTTCGTGATATGAAATCAAGCATATAGATCTCATTTGCTGTGACATATTGTGTTTTTGTGTCATTAAAATAATATAATAATAATAATAATAATAATAATAATAATAATAATAATTCAAAAATACATCACACAGTCCTAGACGCTTGGGAAGTGTTTGACTTGTGATTTTGTGATACGAAATCCAGCATATCGATCTCATTTGCTGTGATATACTGTGTTTTTGTGTCATTAAAATAATAATAATAATAATAATAATAATAATAATAATAATAATTTAAAAATACATCACACAGTCCTAGACACTTGGGAAGTGTTTGACTTGTGTTTTTGTGATACGAAATCCAGCATATAGATCTCATTTGCTGTGCCATACTGTGTTTTTGTGTCATTAAAATAATAATAATAATAATAATAATAATAATAATAAAATACATCACACAGTCCTAGACACTTGGGAAGTGTTTGACTTGTGATTTTGTGATACGAAATACAGCATATAGATCTCATTTGTGTGATATACTGTGGTTTTGTGTCATTAAAATAATAATAACAATAACAATAATAATATTACAGTCAGCACACCAACACCTTATCAAGAAATAGCTTCCTAACATCTACAGAGACGCTCGCAGGAACACCTCAGCAAGCAAGAGTCCAAAAGTGGCAGGCTCAAACCCAGAACCTCACTCGGCAGCTGAGACCGAATGAGAGATTTCCTCCTGGGCATATAGAAAACTGGGAGACTTGGAAGGCGCTCAACAGGCTCACCCAACAAGAAATGGGGTCACAAAGTGGAGCCCACGACATGCGAGTGCGGAGAAGAGCAAACCACAGACCACCTACGACAATGCAACCTGAGCCCTGTCACATGCACAATAGACAGAGCAGTCCAAGAGGTCAAAGGAAATGGAATATAAGACCAAGTTTTTAACTTTGTTTCTGGTTTTAAATACATAACTGTACCTTCAATTCACTTTTGACACAATAAATACAATCATATGTATGTTTAAAAAGGTGTGAAATGCCTTGGAAATGAACACTAAAAGCAGTTTTGTATTGAAAAAGGAGCAAAAGGCCAAGCATGCCCGTAAGAATCCAGTTGAGCCTCAGCTTTCTTTCCTTTTTTTTTAGTGGCAAAGCTCTCTGGACATGGGCAGAGGAGCCTCAGCCAGATCAGAAGCAACATTAGAACTTCAGGACCAAACCAAAGGCGAAGCTATCCAGTTACTCACCCAATTAAGGAGACCATCTGTTCCACTATGTGTTTGCTGAATGTAATAATCACAAAAAGTTTCTGGAAGGACAACAAGAAAAACAAGAAAGCGTTAGTCGATTGAAGGGGAAGCCAAAACAATGCAGAATTTCAGCTTCCGATCCAAGGCAATAAATTACTCCCCTTCTGTTCTTGGGTTGGCTTTGATAGTTCTTCCAGGCACTGTCCTAAAAAGGGACCACTGCTGGAAATGACAACGTTCAGCTAACACTCCAAGCTAACACCATATCCCTACTCATCAGAATACCTCTTTCTCCTTCCTTCCTTCCATCCATCTCTCTTTCCTTCCTCCTTTCCTTTCTTCCTTCTATCCTTTTCTCCTTCCCTTCCTTCTTTCAATCCCTTCATTTCCACTCTTTGGTCCTTCATTCCCTTTTGTCTTTCCTTCCTTCTCCACTCTTCCCTTGCACCCTTTTGTTCTTCCTTCCCTTTTGTATTTTCTTCTCTCTTACCTTCCTCTTTACCTCCCTCTCTTCCCTCCCTCTATCTCCTTGCATCCTTACCTTTCACCCTTTCGTCTTTCCTCCCTCCTTCCCTCTCACCCCTTCCTTTCTTGCCATCCTTTCATCCTTCCTTCCTTCTTTCCTCTCTCCATTCCTTTCCATCCTTTTGTCTTTCCTTCCTTCCCTCTTTCCCTTCCTTCCTTCCATCCTTCTCTTCCTCCCTCCTTCCCTTACTTCTCTTCTTCCTTCCTCCTTCCCTTCCACTCTTTTGTCCTTCCCTTTTGTCTTTCCTTCCTTCTCTTACCTTCCTCTTTGCTTCCCCCTTTCTCCTTCCTTCCTTCCTTTCCACCCTTTCTCCCTTCCTTCCCTCTTTCCTCCCTCCATACCTTTCCACCCTTTTACCCTTCCTTCCTTCTCTTTCCTTCCTCCTTCCTTTTCTTCCTTCCATTCTTCTTTTCCTCCCTCCCTCCTTCCCTTCCTTCTCTTCTTCCTTTCTCCTTCCCTTCCTTCCTTCCCTTTTGCTCTTCCTTCCTTCCCTCTTTTCTCCCTCCATTCCTTTCCATCCCTTTGTCCTTATTTCCTTCTCTCTTTCCTTCCTTCCTTCCTTACATCCTTCTCTTCCTCCCTCCCTCCTTCCCTTCCTTCTCTTCTTCCTTCCTTTCCTTCTTTCCACCCTTCCTTTCCACCCTTTTGTCCTTCCTTCCCTTTCGTCTTTCCTTCCTTCTCCACCCTTCCCTTGCACCCTTTTGTTCTTCCTTCCATTTTGTATTTTCTTCTCTCTTGCCTTCCTCTTTACCTCTCTCTTTTCCTTACCTTGCTTTCTCCTTCAATCTTTACCTTCCACCCTTTCGTCCTTCCTTCCTTCCCTTTCTTCCCTCCTTCCCTCTCACTCCTTCCTTCCTTCCTACTTTCCTCCCTCCATTCCTTTCCACCCTTTTGTCCTTCCTTCTCTCTTTCCTTCCTTCTTTCCTTTCTTTCTTCCATCCTTTGCCCATGCCTGAGTTAAACCTTTGTGCTGTTGAATCCGCTGACCTGAAGATTGGCAGTTTGAAGCCATGGGTCGGGATGAGGTCCTGCTGTTACCCCTAGCTCCTGCCAACCTAGCAGTTCAAAACATGTAATGTGAGTAGTTCCGGCATGGTTGCATGAGCACCTTTATTACCTCCCCGCCGAAGCGGTACCTATGCAACCATGCCGGAACAGGAGGTGTCTACGGATGACAGGCTCCTTGGTTTGGAAATGGAACAAAAGCACTTCCCCATGGCCGGAGTTGAAAGGAGAAGCCTTTACCTTTGTTCTGTGTATTTGTGTGTCTTTGTTATTTCACTGTATTAAAAGGCGTTGAATGTTTGCCCATCTGTGTACGTTGTAATCCGCTCTGAGTCCCCTCGGGGAGATACAGTGGAATATAAATAAAGGATATTATTATTATTATTATTATTATTATTATTATTATTATTATCTCTGAAAATAAAAGAAGTAGCAGGGCTTCAGTCTTACAAGCTCTGGGTCAATCAAGCGATTGCCCAAAGTACTTCCTTTACAAATATTCCAGCCCTGAATGTGGTGTTATTACTCTTCACCTGGCTGGCAAAGAAGGGGTAACCCTCATGACCCTTCGGTGACTTCATCGTAATGTCAATATTGAAGTCAGGAATTTCCTGCTCTGTGTATGTTGTGTTTGTGAGCCATTACACTACCCCCAGGAGGTAAGGGAAGTGGAGAATGACAGGTCAGGGGGTGACGTCACGGATACGTTCCAATCAGTGCCAAACATTAACCTGACTAATGCCACCCGACAGGTAGCTTTGATGCAAAGGTCATGCCCGGCGGGTTAGAATGGCTATCCAACTTCCTGTGCTGAATATGTCCCAAATCCATGGAGGAGAAAAGCATTGTTGAAGTGAACCTGTGCTGCGACCGCAAAACGTGTGGGAAGGCAAGCACAAGAGAGCCAAGGACAAATTACCTGGATGTGCATCTTGATTATTGCTTTCCCGATCAAAGTGGCACCGAAGAAGGTCCAAAACGGGACGAGGAAGTGTCCGCATGTGATCCCGGCCAAGTCGAAGAGAGGGTTGGGAATCTGGGGAGGAAAACGGAAAAGAAGAGGAGGAGGATGAGATGCCGGTTTGTTTTGAGGCAGTGGATGATAAAACAAGAAAAATAATAATGATCAGTTTGGTAGGAAGAAGTGGAAGAGGGAGGGATGTTGCTCCTGTGACCTGCTTTTTCCAGAGGCAACATCTACACTGCCGTAGAAAATCCAGATGATGTGTTTTGAACTGGATTATATGACAGTGTAGACCAGGCATAGGTGTCTTGGGCTTCAACTCTCATAATTCCTAACAGCCTACCATAATGACCCCAAAAGCTATTAATTTGTATTGTCGAAGGCTTTCATGGCCTGAATCACTCAGTTCTTGTGGGTTTTTTCGGTCTATATGGCCATGTTCTAGAGGCATTTCTCCTGACGTTTCGCCTGCATCTATTTATTTATTTATTTATTTATTTGGTACACTTATATACCGCTAACTTCTCAGCCTGGATCGGCGACTCAGTTGCGGTTTACAGCATTTAAAATCAATCTCCAGTTTAAAAACATATACAAAATACAATTACAAATTACAATAGCAAATTATTGGGCCACCAATAATAATCCCATATGTCTCAAGTTGAATCACAGTCCACAATTCGTTGTCCATATATCTGTCCAAGGTCACCTAGATTCGAATCGGTTTCCACAGATTAGCCGAAGGCTTGTTTGAATAACCATGTTTTAAGTTTCTTCCTAAATGCCATCAGCGAAGAGGCTGATCGTATCTCTATAGGGAGGGCGTTCCAAAGCCGGGGGGCCACCACAGAGAAGGCCCTATCTCTCGTTCCCGCCAGCCGCACTTCTGAAGCTGGAGGGATAGAGAGAAGAGACTCTCCGGAAGATCTTAGGGTCCTAGAGGTGAGGTCTGCTGGAGCTGGGAAAAAAGGGGTTTATATATCTGTGGAATGACCAGGGTGAGACAAAGGGCTTTTGTAAGTTGGGCTAGGTGTGAATCTTTCAACTGACCACCTTGATTAGCATACAATGGGCTGACTGTGCCTGGAGCAAACTCTTCTTGAAGGGCAAGCCATGAGAATAAAGAGGAAGATCCACCCAGAGGAAAAGTGTTCTTGCCATACATCAAGGGAACCACTGACCGCATAGGGAAGCTGATGAGGAAACACAACATCTACAGACCCACCAAGAAAATCCAACAAATGCTACGTTCAGCAAAGGACAAGAGGGATCCTCTCACCTCTGCAGGAGTCTACCGTATACCATGCAGCTGTGGACAAGTCTACATAGGGACCACCAAACGCAGTGCCCAAACACGAATCAAGGAACATGAAAGGCACTGCAGACTACTTCAACCAGAGAAATCAGCCATAGCAGAGCACCTGATGAACCAACCTGGACACAGCATTTTATTTGAGAACACAAAATGCTGGACCACTCTCACAACCACCATGTCAGACTACACAGAGAAGCCATTGAAATCCACAAGCATGTGGACAATTTCAACAGAAAGGAAGAAACCATGAAAATGAAGAAAATCTGGCTACCGGTATTAAAAAATTCTAAAATTGCAACAGCAAAAACAGCAGAGAGAAAAACAGGCAGGGACATCTAATCATCTTTCAAGAAGAGTTTGCTCCAGGCACAGTCAGCCCATTGTATGCTAATCAAGGTGGTCAGTTGAAAGATTCACACCTAGCCCAACTTACAAAAGCCCTTTGTCTCACCCTGGTCATTCCACAGATATATAAACCCCTTTTTTCCCAGCTCCAGCAGACCTCACCTCTGAGGATGCTTGCCATAGATGCAGGCGAAACGTCAGGAGAAATGCCTCTAGAACATGGCCATATAGCCCGAAAAAACCCACAAGAACTGAGCTATTAATTTATTTATGCTTATTCATTTGTGGCCTTTATATGCCACCCTTCTCACCCCGAAGAGGACTCTGAGCGGCTTACAAGTAATATGTAAATACAATATATTATTACCATAGCACAATCTATATAAATAAAAATGTAATGTTAGTTTGTGGGATTAACATAACTCAAAAACTACTGGACGAATTGACATGAAATTTGGACACAATACAGTCCAACGAGTGTCCATCACCCATAAACACATGCACACACACAAACACACACACACACAAAACCCCAGCGGAACAGACTTAAAACCCCCCAAAATACACCATATATACATATACACATACACTCATATACATATGCACATGCACACATTCATACACATACACATGTATATATATGCACAAACACACACAAATATACACACATACATATACATACACATATATACTTATACATATGCACATATACATACACACATACATACATATATACACACAAATATGCATATAGGCAAGCACACATATACACAATATGCATTTACACATATACACAAATATATACATACATATACACAAAAACATATATATATATACGCAAACATACACATATACACAAATATATACACACATACACACATATATACACACACAAAACACATATTATATATATATTATCTTATTATATTGTATTACATTATAATATTAACAATACTATATGTATATACATTATTATATTATATTATATTATATTATATTATATTATATTATATTATTAGCACAATGTAGGAGACAAGGTGGAACTGTCTATAGAGCAATCGCCTTGTTGTGCCATCTTTACAAAGTTCTGGAGAGACTTATTTTGCATAGAATTAGGGAAAAAATAGACCCATGTCTGATCCCACCGCTAGCTGGCTTCAGGAAAGGCAAAAGCTGCACATCGCAAGGGCTGAACCTGACTCAGCACATAGAAGATGGCTTTGAAAGGCTGCAGATTGCATGAGATGTCTTCACAGACCTGTCAGCAACTTATGATATAAATGTTTTAAAAAAATAAAATAAATTGTATATTAGCCTGTGTCTGATCTTCATGTTGATATTTATGATGGGAATGGGGATGTTGATCCAGTTCCTGGGCCAGAGTCTGATGAAGTACTTCCCAGAGTTAAGCACCGCCTCCAGAAGCCGGAAATGAAAGGGGAGGCCTTTACCTATGTTCTGTGTATTTGTGCATCATTGTTATTGCACTGTATTAAAGGCATTAAATGTTTGCCTATATGTTGTAATCCACTTTGAGTCCCTTCGGGGAGATAGAGCGGAATATAAATAAAGTGTACCTGCTCCCCGATGGGTTTTTATTAAATTATTACTATTTTATTAATTATTATTTTATTAATTATTATTTTATTAATTATTATTATTATTATTATTATTATTAATAAAAATAATAATTACAAAAGAAGCCCATTCAACCAATGCTTTCTGTCAGGTTTTACAATGTATTGTAATGTAATATAGCTGAGTCATGCACTGCTAACAGGCTTCTATTGGAAATGCTGAGTCATGCATTAACTGTATATAGGGAATCATTTGGGGAATGTGTTCTGGCCTAGTCCAGGTGATTGTGAATGATGTAATCCTGGGTCTGAGTTAAGTTAATGAGTTGGGAACCAATCAGAGATTGCTATGTGTAATTGTATAGAATTGTATATAAGGAAGTCATGTACAGTGTATTCTCTCTCCTTGTGCTGTGATGCTGTTCGTCGAAGGCTATATGTAATTGATTAAAAGAACCTGTCTGCTAAGACAAGATATGTGTGTTGTGGTAAGTTTGTAGTGTCATCTAGATTGGAGGGGGAAACAATAGTAAAACTGACAATGGCCGGGCATGTGCTCAAGTGTCTGTAAAAGAGTTCCAGAGTGACTGCAGTTTGTGGGAGCAGTTGACTGAAAATACTGTGCAGGAAGAAGCTACTGGAAAGCGCTGAAGTTGTGCAACTGATCTGCTGCTGAATTGTGAAATTAATCTCAACACTTTCTCAATGGGACAACCTCCAAATAGGTTGGGTTTCCATCCTTGGCCATTCTCAACCCCAATGGCTGGGGATGAGGGAAGTTCACTGCGACCCCCACGAATGACGGACCTGGACCAAACTTAGCACACAGACTCCCCAAGACCAACAGCAACTCCCATCATCCTGTCCAAAACACCAAAGTGTCAATTATGAAAGCCCGCAGGGAGAAAGCACATCAAAACGTTGATCCTCCTCTAGAACGTCTCAGCGTTGTTAGAGGAGAGCGGAGTTGTCAGCCATAAATAAAATGCAACCTGCCAAATTGGTACATGGAGATTTCCACAGCATTAGACGGCCTGCTGAAAGTGTAACTCTTTATCCCTAGTCTAGACAAGGTATAGAAGGGAAAACACAAGGGCCCGAATTTGATCCAGATTAATGCCTATATGCAGCAAATAAATAAATCCATCCAGAGGTACATAACTCTATGGTTGAAAAGTGGCCGGGGGTAAAGGAAAGGTTATGTACCAATAGCGGACTTGAGACTGATTTATTTGCATGCATCTTTTTCCATTAGCGCTGCACTCAAAGCAGGATCAGAACATAAACCACAGCACTGCGAGGGATTGCATGAAATATTGTGACCTGAAAAAAAAAAGGATTTTGTTTTTCTTGGGCGATGGAAACAGGGGAAGGATTCCTTATCCGAAATGGTTTGGGCCAGAAGGCTTTGGGAACGACTGTATTTGCATATATTGGAGGTGGGAGATGAGGCACGAAACCATACTGGAGAAAAAGTATTTATTTATTTTATATCCTGATGGGATTTGCAGTACCTTCACCCGATTCAACTCCAACTTTCACAGATCACTGTGGCCTCCACAAATGACGGATCCGGACCAAACTTGGCACACAGACCCCCCCCCCCCACCTCATGACCCACTTTATGCCCTGGTGGTGGGGGTCTGCGTATCTCCTGGTGTGGTTTGGGGGAGATTGGACCATGGATGATGAGATTTGCAGTACCTTCATCTGATTGGGCTCCTACAGACCACTGCGACCTGCATGAATGATGGACCTGGACCAAACTTGGCACACAGACCCCCCCCCCCCCCCATGACCCACTTTACCTCCTGGTGTGGTTTGGGGGAGATTGGACCATGGATGATGGGATTTGCAATACCTTCACCTGATTCAGATCCCACAGACCACTGCAACTCTCACGAATGACGGACCTGGACCAAACATGGCACACAGCCCCCCCCCCCCCCCCATGGTCCACTTTTCCTCCTGGTGTGGTTTGGGGGAGGACGTACCATGACTGATGGGATTTGCAGTACCTTCATCTGATTGGGCTCCCACAGACCACTGCGAACTGCACGAATGGACCTGAACCAAACTTGGCACACAGACCCCACCCCCCATGACCCACTTTACCTCCTGGTGAGGTTTGGGGGAGGACATAACATGGTTAATGGTACTTGCAGTACCTTCACCCAATTGGGTTATCACAGACCACTGCAAGCCCCACAAATGACAGACCTGGACCAAACTTGGCACACAGACCCCCCCCCCCCCCCCCCCCCATGGCCCACTTTACCTCCTGGTGTGGTTTGGGGGAGATCGGACCATGGATGATGAGATTTGCAGTACCTTCACCTGATTGGGCTACCACAGACCACTGCAACCCCCACAAATGACGGACCTGGACCAAACTTGGCACACAGACACCCCCCACCCCCATGATCCACTTTACCTCCTGGTGTGGTTTGGGGGAGGACATACCATGGCTGATGGTACTTGCAGTACTTTCACCCGATTGGGCTACCACAGACCACTGCAACCTCCACAAATGATGGACCTGGACCAAAATTGGCTACCACGGACCACTGCAACCTCCACAAATGTCAGACCTGGACCAAACTTGGCATACAGACACCCCCCCCCTCCCCCCACATCCCTTTTTTCTTCCTGGTGTGGTTTGGGGGAGATTGGACCATGAATGATGAGATTTGCAGTACCTTCACCCGACTGGGCTACCACAGACCACTGCAACCCCACAAATGATGGACCTGGACCAAACTTGGCACACAGACCCCCCCCCCCATGGCCCACTTTTCCTCCTGGTGTGGTTTGGGGGAGATCAGACCATGGATGATGGGATTTGCAGTACCTTCACCCGATTGGGTTACCACAGACCACTGCAACCTCCACAAATGACAGACCTGGACCAAATTTGGCTACCACAGACCACTACAACCCCTACAAGTGACGGACCTGGACCAAACTTAGCACACAGACCTCCCCCCCCCCCAGACCCACTTTACCTCCTGGTGTGGGTTGGGGGAGAATGGATTGTGAATGATGGGATTTGCAATACTTTCACATGATTCAGCTCCCACAGACCACTGCGACTCTCACAAATGACGGACCCGAACCAAACTTGGCACATAGACTATGATCAACAGAACATACTGGAGACATTTGGGGAAAATTGGACTTGAATTTTGGGAGTTATCATTCACCTGCATCCAGGAAAACTGTGACCCACACCAACAATGGACCAGGACCAAACTTGGCACAGAGAAGCCCTGTGACCAACTGAACATACTAACGTGCATGTGTGCTGTGTTGTTACATACATGTGAATAAAATAATAATAGTATTTTTTTTTTGTTGTATCAGGAGCGACCCGAGAAACTGCAAGTCGCCACTGGTGCGAGAGAACTGGCTGTCTGCAAGGACGTTGCCCAGGGGACGCCTGGATGTTTTGGATGTTTTACCATCCTTGTGGGAGGCTTCTCTCATGTCCCCGCATGAGGAGCTGGAGCTGACAGAGGGAGCTCATCCGTGCTCACCCTGGATTCGAATCTGCGACCTGTCGGTCTTCAGTCCTGTCGGCACAGGGGTTTAACCCAATGTGCCACCAGGATCTCCTCATAATAGTAATAGTAATAGTAATTTTTTTTGTCATGTCAGGAGCGACTTGAGAAACTGCAAGTTGCTTCTGGTGTGAGAGAATTGGCCGTCTGCAAGGACGTTACCCAGGGGACGCCTGGATGTTTTTGATGTTTTACCATCCTTGTGGGAGGCTTCTCCCATGTCCCTGCATGGGGAGCTGGAACTGACAGAGGGAGCTCATGCATGAGAAGCTGGAGCTGACAGAGGGAGCTCATCCAAGCTCTACCCTGATTCAAACTTGTGACCTATTGGTCTTCAGTCCTGCTGGCACAGGGGTTTAACCCACTGCACCACCGGGGGCTCCTCATAATAGTAATAGTAATTTTTTTTGTCATGTCAGGAGCGACTTGAGAAACTGCAAGTTGCTTCTGGTGTGAGAGAATTGGCCGTCTGCAAGGACGTTGCATAATAGTAATAGTAATTTTTTTTGTCATGTCAGGAGCGACTTGAGAAACTGCAAGTTGCTTCTGGTGTGAGAGAATTGGCTGTCTGCAAGGACGTTGCACAGGGGTTTAACCCACTGCGCCACCCAATAATAATAATAATAATAATAATAATAATAATAATAATAATAATAATTTCTAGTCCTCAAATACGAAATCTATTTTAAGGGAGGGAATTTTGGAGCATTTAAAAATATATATATTGGGATAGCTCTATAAACTTGTTAACAAACCCAAAGTCAGTGAGCCTGTTGGATAAAGTTACAAAATAAACTAATTAAACCCTTCCAGATGCAATTGAAGCCTTGAAATACAGTCGTATTTATTTATTTTACGGGATTCAACACAGCGAGCCAGAAGAAGGTGGTGGTGGGACCGGGTCCCACGGCTCCTGCTGCGAGGAAAACCCCAGAGAGAGAGAAAATAGAGATGTGTTTATGCGCCTATCGGGCAGAAGGAGCACAAAATGTTCTGGAGATTAAGCCTGGGATGTCGTAACTGGGCAAAGGGAGGGAAGCGGGGCTCCTCACCCGAGTCACTATTTCAAATTAACATGCACAAACATACACACACAGTATCGGCATTGCACAACCCTAAAGGTTTCAAACATTCCTGCATGCTCCCTTCAAGAGAAAGGAATGCCATCATATCCGGTCCATTGTGGCCCTATGCCTTTCTCCGGGTTAGGATTGGATGCTACTATACCTCCCATGAGCCTCGGCCAGAAGAGCCCATGCCAAGGAACTGCAGTCTTGTTGTGGAAACGACTGGTGGTAAATCTTCAGTGGAGACCCCATTTCCCTGTGATAATAACTCTTCCAAGAGTGGATTTCCCTTCCGAGGGGAAGATTTATCTCACTTCCTGTTGTCTCAATTTGTAAGCCAGAGAAGGGTGACTCAAATGATCAAGGGTCTGGAGAACAAGCCCTATGAGGAGTGGCTTCAAGAGCTGGGCATGTTTAGCCTGAAGAAGAGAAGGCTGAGAGGAGACATGATAGCCATGTATAAATATGTGAGAGGAAGTCATAGGGAGGAGGGAGCAAGCTTTTTTTCTGCTGCCCTGGAGACTAGGATGTGGAACAATGGCTTCAAACTACAAGAAAGGAGATTCCATGTGAACATTAGGAAGAACTTCCTGACTGTGAGAGCCGTTCAGCAGTGGAACTCTCTGCCCCAGAGTGTGGTGGAGGCTCCTTCTTTGGAGGCTTTGAAACAGAGGCTGGATGACCTCATAACCTCTGAGGATGATTGCCAAAGATGCAGGTGAAATGTCAGGAGAGAATGCTTCTAGAACATGGCCATACAGTCTGAAAAACCTACAACCACCCAGTGATTCTGGCCATGAAAGCCTTCAACTATATATTTTGAAGAACTTCCTGACTGTGAGAGCTGTTCAGCAGTGGAACTCTCTGCTCCAGAGTGTGGTGGAGGCTCCAGCCTCTGTTTTGAAACAGAGGCTGGATGGCCATCTGTTGGGAGTGTTTTGAATGGGATTTTCCTGCTTCTTTATGTATTCTGGGTTGTTGTAGAGTTTTCGGCTTGTATGGCCATGTTCTAGAAGCATTCTCTCCTGACGTGTATCTATGGCAGGCATCCTTAGAGGTTATGATGACCTCATAACCTCTGAGGATGCTCGCCACAGATGCAGGCAAAACGGCAGGAGAGAATGCTTCTAGAACATGGCCATACAGTCCGAAAAACCTACAACAACCCAGTGATTCCGGCCATGAAAGCCTTCGACAATATATTAGGAACAACTTCCTGATGGTGAGAGCCGTTCAGCAGTGGAACTCTCTGCCCCAGAGTGTGGTGGAGTAATGTCAGGAGAGAATGCTTCTAGAACATGGCCACACAGTCCGAAAAACCGACAACAACCCAGTGATTCCAGCCATGAAAGCCTTCGACAATATATTAGGAACAACTTTCTGATTGTGAGAGCTGTTCAGCAGTGGAACTCTCTGCCCTGGAGTGTGGTGGAGTAACGTCAGGAGAGAATGCTTCTAGAACATACAGCCATACAGTCCGAAAAACCTACAACAACCCAGTGATTCCGGCCATGAAAGCCTTCGGCAATATATAAGGAACAACTTCCTGACTGTGAGAGCTGTTCAGCAGTGGAGTGTGGTGGAGTAACGTCAGGAGAGAATGCTTCTAGAACATAGCCATACAGTCTGAAAAACCGACAACAACCCAGTGATTCCGTCCATGAAAGCCTTCGACAATATATTAGGAACAACTTCCTGACTGTGAGAGCTGTTCAGCAGTGGAACTCTCTGCCCTGGAGTGTGGTGGAGTAACGTCAGGAGAGAATGCTTCTAGAACATGGCCATACAGTGCGAAAAACCTACAACAACCCGGTGATTCCGGCCATGAAAGCCTTTGGCAATATATTAGGAAGAACTTCCTGACTGTGAGAGCTGGTCAGCAGTGGAACTCTCTCCCCAGTACTTTGAATGGGATTTTCCTGCTTCTTGGCAGAATGGGGTTGGACTGGATGGCCCTTTAGGATTCTCTGATTTGATGTTTGTAACTTGGGGACAGCGAGTATAAGGACTATCACTGAATGAAGGGGTTTTTCAAAATGCAACTTACGGAAGCGCAGGCCAAGATGCCGAAAAACCCGACTTTTTGCACAAGGTTCTGGACGGCCAGTTTGGCGCGAGAGGCAAAATCCTGCAAAGGGAAGAAAAACCAAAAATGAAATCATTATTAGGGTTAAAGACCAGGAATTATTTGCCAACTTGAGTCTTGCGTTCACACCTCGCTGGCCCCACCCGGCATTGTGCAAGCAAGTTTAATCAGAGAGCCTTTGTATTAAGATTGGGGGGGATAAATAAATAAAACCACACACACATAACGCTGACACATTTGAGGAACCAGATATCCTGAAACCTGCCATACCCGCCCTCCATGACCCACTCTACATCCTGGTGCAGTTTGGAGGAGGATGGGCCATGAATGATGGGACTTGCAGTACCTTCACTCACTTCCCAAGACCATTGAGACCCTCACAAATGACTGATGAAGATCAAACATCGTACACAGAGCTCCCACAACCCACTATAGATCCTGGTACAGTTTGGAGGAGGATGGACGATGGGACTTGCAGTACCTTCACTCACTTCCTGAGACCACTGCAACCCTCACCAATGACTGATGAAGACCAAACGTGGTACACAGAGCTCCCACGACCCACTCTACATCCTGGTGCGGTTTGGAAGAGGATGGACCATGAATGATGGTAATTGCAGTCCAATTGCAGACCAAACGTGGTATACAGAGATCCCACGACCCACTCTACTTCCTGGTGCGGTTTGGGGGAGGATGAAGCATGAATGATGGGACTAGCAGTACCTTCACTCACTTCCTGAGACCACTGCAACCCTCACAAATGACTGATGAAGACCAAACGTGGTACACAGAGCTCCCATGACCCACTCTACATCCTGGTGCGGTTTGGGGGAGGATGGACCATGAATGAATGGACTTGTAGTAGCTTCACTCTTTTCCTGAGACCACTGCGACCCTCACCAATGACGGATGAAGATCAAACGTGGTACACAGAGCTCCCTCGACCCACTTGCAGTACCTTCACTCACTTTCCGAGACCACTGAAACCCTCACAAATGACTGATGAAGACCAAACGTGGTACACAGTGCTCCCATGACCCTCTCTACATCCTGATGTGGTTTGGAGGAGTATGGACCATGAATGATGGGACTTGCAGTACCTTCACTCACTTCCTGAGACCACTGCGACCCTCACAAATGACTGATGAAGACCAAACATGGTACGCAGAGCTCCCATTACCCACTCTACATCCTGGTGCGGTTTGGAGGAGGATGGACCATGAATGATGGGACTTGCAGTAGCTTCACTCACTTCCTGAAACCACTGCAACCCTCACCAATGACTGATGAGACCAAAAATGGTACACAGAGCTCCCATGACCCACTCTACATCCTGGTGCGGTTTGGAGGAGGATGGACCATGAATCATGGGACTTGCAGTACATTCACTCACTTCCTGAGATCAGCAACCTTCACAAATGACTGATGAAGACCAAACGTGGTACACAGAGCTCCCATGACCCACTTGCAGTACCTTCACTCACTTCCTGAGACCACTGCGACCCTCACAAATGACTGATGAAGACCAAACATGGTACACAGAGCTCCCATGACCCACTCTACATCCTGGTGCACTTTGGAGGAGAAAGGACCATGAATGATGGGACTTGCAGTACCTTCACTCACTTCCAGAGATCACTGCGACCCTCACAAATGACTGATAAAGACCAAACGTGGTATACAGAGCTACCATGACCCACTCTACATCCTGGTGAGGTTTGGAGGCAGATAGACCATGAATGATGGGACTTGCAGTACCTTCACTCACTTCCTGAGACCACTGCGACCCTCACAAATGACTGATAAAGACCAAACGTGGTATACAGAGCTACCATGACCCACTCTACATCCTGGTGAGGTTTGGAGGCAGATAGACCATGAATGATGGGACTTGCAGTACCTTCACTCACTTCCTGAGACCACTGCGACCCTCACAAATGACTGATGAAGACCAAACATGGTACACAGAGCTCCCATGACCCACTCTACATCCTGGTGCACTTTGGAGGAGAAAGGACCATGAATGATGGGACTTGCAGTACCTTCACTCACTTCCAGAGATCACTGCAACCCTCACAAAAGACTGATGAAGACCAAACGTGGTACACAGAGCCCCCATGGCCCACTCTATATCCTGGTATGGTTTGGAGGAGGATGAACCATGGATGATGGGACTTGCAGTACTTTCACCCAATCCAGTTCCCACAGACCACTGTGACCCACACCATTGACTGGTCAAGAGCAACCTGGGCACACAGAGCCCCCATGACCCACTCTATGTCTGGGTGGAGTTTGTGGGCAAACGGACCATGGATGATGGGACTTGCAGTACCATCACTCACTTCCTGACACCACTGCAACACACATCTATGGCTGATCAAGACCAAACTTGGCACCCAGAGCCCCCATGACCCACTCTATGTCTGGGTGGAGTTTGTGGGCCAACAGACCCTGGATGATGGGACTTGCAGTACTTTCACTCACTTCCTGAGACCACTGCGACACACATCAATGGCTGATCAAGACCAAATTTGGCACCCAGAGCCCCCATGACCCATTCTACATCTTTGTGTCGTTTGGAGGAGGATGGAACATGCAGGATGGGACTCACATATGGGAGCTATAGTTCACCCATTTGGACATATTTGCACCATTGTTTAACCCAGGCATCCAAATCACTCATGAGCTCCTTCTGTCAGCTCCAGCTCCCCATGCGGGGACATGAGAGAAGCCTCCCACAAGAATGGTCAAACATCAAAACATCCAGGCAACGTCCTTGCAGACAGCCAATTCTCTTACACCAGAAGCGACTTGCAGTTTCTCAAGTCACTCCTGACACGAAAAAAAAATTATCTTCCTACAAAGACCAGGCAAGTGTTCTTGCTTTAAAGTCCCTCGTTGATTTCAAAATGAGAAGGAAAAGATAAGGAAAGGAGAAGTGAAAACCGTTCCTTCTTCTGCGCAGGGATTTCATAAGACATCTCCCTCGGTCATTTGCATTACAATGCTTGCTTTCAGATCGTGAATTTTCGGTTCCTATTTTGCCAGGACTCTTTCACAAGGCACGTGGGTTCCGGGAACAGCCGCAATTTAAGGCACCTATGAAAGCCCCATTCTCAAGTCTAGTCATTTGCATTACAACGCTGGCCTTGAGATCAATGTTTCTCAACCTGGGGGTCGGGACTCCCAGGGAGGTCGAGAGGGATGTCAGAGGGGTCACCAAAGACCATCAGTATTTTCTGTTGGTCATGGGGGTTCCGTGTGAAAGGTTTGGCCCAATTCTATCAATGGTGAGGTTCAGAATGCTCTTTGATTGTAGGTGAACTATAAATCCCAGCAACTACAACTCCCAAATGTCAAGGTCTATTTGCCCCAAACTCCACCAGTGTTCACATTTGGGCATATTGAGTATTGTGCCAAGTTTGGTCCAGATCCATCATGTTTGGTCCACAGTGCTCTCTGGATGTAGGTGAACTATAACTCCCAAAGTCAAGGTCAATGCCCACCAAACCCTTCTGTTGGTCAAGGGAGTTCTTGCCCACCAAACCCTTCCAATCTGTCTGCCAAGTTTGGTTCAATTCCATCGTTGGTAGAGTTCAGAGTGCTCTTTGATTGTAGGTGAACTATAAATCCCAATAACTAGAACTCCCAAATGTCAAGGTCTATTGTCCTCAAACTCCACCAGGGTTCACATTTGAGTACCCATGCCAAGTTTGGCTCAGATCCATCATTGCTTGAGTCCACAGTGATGTAGGTGAACTACAACTCCCAAACTCAAGGTCAATGCCCACCAAACCTTTCCAATCTTTTATGTTTGTCATGGGAGTTCTGTGTGCCAAGTTGGTTCAATTCCATCATTGGTGGAGTTCAGAATGCTCTTTGATTGTAGGTGAACTATAAATCCCAGCAACTACAATTCCCAAATGTCAAAATCTATTTTCCCCAAACTCCACCAGTGTTCACATTTGGATATATTGAGTATTCGTGCCAAGTTTGGTCCAGATCCATCATTGTTTGAGTCCACAGTGTTCTCTGGATGTAGGTGAACTACAATTCCCAAACTCAAGGTCAATGCCCACCAAACCCAGTATTTTCTGTTGGTCATGGTGGTTCTGTGTGCCAAGTTTGGTTCAATTCCATCATTGGAGTTCAGAATGCTCTTTGATTGTAGGTGAACTATAAATCCCAGCAACTACAACTCCCAAATGACAAAATCGTCCCTCCCTAACCCCACCAGTATTCAAATTTGGGCATATTGGTTATTTGTGCCCAATTTGGTCCAGTGAATGAAAATACATTCTGCATATTGGGTATTTATATTATCATTCATAACAGCAGCAAAATTAAGAGTTATGAAGTAGCAACGAAAATAATGTTATGGGGAAAGATTGGGTATTAATGCCAAACAATTCAATAGAGATTCTACTTCTTATTCTATCAATTGTCCTCTCTTAAATCTTATTTATTTATTAACAACATTTATATGCCGCTCTTCTCATCCTGATACAATATAATACAATTTAACAATATAATACAATTAAATATTTAATATAATACAATATATTGAATTATTAGCATAGTACGATATCAGTATTAAATATTACTATATTGTACTATGCCATTATATTGTAATATTATTAGTAATATTACATGTAATATAAATATATAATTATAATATCATATTATTAGTATTATATTGCATTACATTATATTATTATAAATGTATGAATATGCAATATATTGCATTATATTGTATTATATTATATTATATGTATGTGCAATATATTATATTATATTATATTATTAGCATAATACAGGAGACAAGGTGAATCTTCAAATCATAGTGCTTCAAAAACATATCCCTGAGAAGCTGGGATAGTGGGGGAAAATACTGATATATTGTCGAAGGATTTCATGGCCGGAATCACTGGGTTGTTGTAGGTTTTTCAGGCTGTCTGGCCATGTTCGAGAAGCATTCTCTCCTGACGTTTCGCTGCATCTATGGCAGGCATCCTCACAACCTCTGAGGATGCTTGCCATAG